GGCAGAGTACAGCAGCTGTGGGTGTCCTGAAAGCAGTGCAGTTTGGGGAATGGTGAGTGCAACCATCTGCCATGCAGAAACATATGCACATGCTTGTACATGCAAAAAGAGATAGATTAAATGACCTTTGGTGTTCTCATCATCTCCCATAGGAGTGACCGGCCACGAATAACCAAAGATGTGGTCTGTTTTCACGCCGAGGACTTCAATGAGGTTGTTCAAAGGCTTCAGCTAGACCTGTATGAGCCACCTGTGTCACAGGTAGGAGCTGTGTTACTGCTAAGCATATTTTTCAGGACAGACTGGGCTTGTGTGTTTATATTAGTATATGGCATTGTATTACGTTCAGTATTCATTTTTTGGTTTTATTATGCTATCATAAGTATATAACTATATAGTCTGTTACACTGCATGTTTCAGAGCAAAGCATGTCACTGTGATCATTTACACATGGCAGCTCATGATCCAGTGTTTTAAGTGGCTAGGGATGGAACGATTACCGGTTTCACGATAAATCACGATAAAATGCCCTGACGGTTAGTATTATCGTTTAAAAGTATAACTTTGGTCACTATAATCGTGATATGAAATTTTCATACCGTTACATCCCTATAAGTGGCTCAGTTAACAGTAAATGCTGCAAAATTTATCTCTGGATGTGCTGTGAGTTTAAAGGGGTCATATGATGCAATTTCAAATTTTCAAGTACGTTTTCATTTTAAGGATTTGCCACTGATGATTCAAACGTGAGTTTTGGGCAGTGTAGAGTAGCATTTGTTGTTTGTCATTTCTCCGATCACAAATGCAGACATGGTTTTATGTTTACGCGGTGCGATACTATGTAATTATGTCCCCACTGGATGCAACAAATGCCTCGTTTATAGTGGGTTTTATTGGTGTTGTCCCATCGCGCCGGGACACGGCATCACAATATGGTAAGGGACGTAACATTTTCGTCACACGCTTGAGGTATTCAGCCAATCACAAAGCCCTGGATAGCTGGCCAATCAGAGCACACCTCGCTTTTCAGAACGATGAGGTTTGTAAAAATCGACGCGTTTCAGAAAGGCGGGGCATAGAGGAGAAACAATAATGTACAGTATGTGGAAAATAATGTGTTTTTTTAACCTTAAACCGCATAAACACATTTCATTACACCAAATACACAACATAATGTTCTTTTTAGCAACATCATATGACCCCTTTAACATGCATTTGGGAATGCAACGTGAGCCAGTTATTCTTTTTTTTTTAATTTGCATAATTTCCCACATTTTTGTAGGCAGATGATTACAGCATTTCACACAGATTTGTATTGAGAAATGTTTGTAAACCTGTTGTGGCAGACACTTAAAGGTCTCGTTGCAGTTGAAAGCTTGTCGGTTTAATTCTTTCAAGTGAAGAAATTCTCAAATTCTCAGAAATTAGATTTTTTTTATATACTATTCTTTTTTTTTTTTTTACAGTTCAGTTGGAATAGTAATATATTTATTGGAAATAAATAAATGATAATATAATAATAATAATGGTGTTATTATTATTATTATACAGTCCCACTTAGAGCTAGCATTCCTGAGGAATCTCGGATAGTTTTGGTTGATAAGAAAATACTTTTGACTATGGTTAAAGGTAAATTAATTTGGATACTGTTCAAATTTTATGCTGTTAATGTTGTCAATTTCTCCCCATGATATCGAAAATAGTATTGAACATTGAAACGTTTTTTTAAGGTGTTGTGACAACACTAGTGTCCAGTCAACAGATTTACTTTTTCATTTATTTCAGTTCTTTCAAAAAGTCTTAGTTGTCAGCTAAATTAAAGTATAAGAACTAGCAAAAATAATAAGTAACATTTATGTATTATTACATGTGTTGTATTGAATATCAGTAAGGCTGTGGTTCGGCCATAGATTTTTGATTAAGCATTAGGACACTTTTAAACAAGACATTGTCTTTTTTTCTCCTGCAAACCATTAAGAAATTTGTCTAAAAAAACAGCCTGAAACAGCATGTTTGAGTGGGGCTACTTTTTTTTTTTTTTAATGAATTTTTTAATGAGTTTTTTCTAATGCATAATTTTATATTTAGTTTAAGATCACAATCTGATCTGATAATGCCATGTGGTGTTGGATAAGCAGTAACTTATTCATGATCCTGAACAGGTGTGGAGATGATATACAGGTATAGGATAGACGGGTATAAAATAGGTCAGCATTCCCATAATGCCCCTCTCTCTACAGTGTGTCCAGTGGGTGGATGATGCCAAACTCAACCAGTTACGGCGAGAAGGCATCCGCTACGTTCGCATGCAGCTCTGTGACGACGACATCTACTTCATCCCTCGCAACGTGATTCATCAGTTCAAAACCGTCTCAGCCGTGTGCAGCCTCGCGTGGCACATCCGTCTAAAGCAGTACTACTCCGAGGAGGAGAAATCAAAGGACGTTAAGACCAAGGACCTGTGCTCCACCTCATGTCCTCCCCCCTCTTCATCCCCTGTTCACCCGGACACCAAAGTCACCTCTTGCACCCAGCTACAAACGAACACGGCACAAGGTGGAGTGGCCAAAACGGACGAACTGGTTTTCCAGAGGCCCGCAACGCCACCCAGAGAGCCGCAGCCCGCGCCTCCACAGCCTGCTAAATCTGCCCACACTGTTTCTGCCGCTCCCTGTACGGAGACCGGTCCTGTCCCAGCATCCTGCCCTCTGTCCTCGCCCACACCAGAGCAAATGCTTCCACAGACTCCCGCCAAGCCTGCATCAGACTCCTCACTCGATGGCAGCAGATCCACAGATTTCCCCAAATGACTTCAGAACCCTTCCTTTTGCAGAGGGATGGAGTTTTATTTCGCCTAGCAGACTTGACTGACATTCCACAGTGTAAAAAAGGTATATCTGTACTTTTGCCTAAAAATGATGAAGACTGTTTATTTTTCTTTTTTAGCTTTTGGTTAAGAAAATGACCCCATGAGTACTTTTTAGGTTTTTCTCAGCCAAAGTATTTAATTTGAAGTATATTTTTGCTGATTATTACTCAGTATTGTTTTGTATTTGTTTATATATTATTATAAATGAGATGAACTTATCTCTCAAGAGGGACTTTTCACGTTTTCATCATGGGCATCATGTTGATTTGCTAATTGGTTTTTAGAGACAAATACAAGGGGGAAAAAGTGCCTGTCACAAGTGGAGAGCAGCAATCATATCTTAAAAGAGAAAAATAGTCTTTTTTTTTTTTTCTATGGTGTAATGTCACTGAAGTATATGACGTATTTAAGATAGACTAGCGAGTAGGTATCAGTTTAAAGTGAGACATATTTGCTTTTTCCTTGATCATTTTCTGGTTTGCTTGAAGGAAAATTCATTATTTTTTTAATGACTAATAGCAGTAATTATCAAAGAGGAACCTGTGCATTACCTCTCATGTATGCAGGAAATAGGATTCGGAATCCACAAGAGGATTGTTCATTTGTTTGTTAATTTTAATTATTTATTTTTATCCAGAATAGTCAGTCTTTTAAGATCACGGTCATGAATTAATTTGTCATGTTTGTTTTCTATCTGTGTTGTATGCAGAAGCCGTTGTGCTTTTTTATGTTTTTAGTTTGGACTAGGAAGACATATTCCATCTAAGTCCGGACATTAGCAGAAAACTGGATGGAAATGTAAATAACCAAACCTACACTCAGGAGCAACATACTGATGCCTTTTCATTTTGTAAAGTCTTCTACTTTACTTCAAAGTTTTATAGCAGTCTAATCCATACTTTCAGATTATTGGGTTTTGAACCTATAATTCTGACATGTGTTTGTATGAGCTTCATGTAAAGGAAACCGTCTCTTCATTCAAATGGATCATCTAAACCAGGTTCACTTCATATTTTTACACAATTCTGCTCATACTATCAGGGTAGTTTTAGTCACAACGGAAAGCTCTTTTTAAATCACACTTTGATTTTGTTCATTATGCTGGTATTGGCTTCTGTTTTTGTCTGTCATTGACATTGTCACCACTTTTAAAAAACAAAATGTCCCAAATGACTAAAATCTTGTTGCTTTGGCCATTTTAAGCATTTGTTGATTTTGATTTTTTTCCCCCTGAAAATCAGTCAGTGCAAAAATGAATTAACGTAATATACATGAATAAACTCCTGCATTTTTCTTGTACAAGAAAACTGTTATGTTGCTCTTCCCATAATTTGCTACCCAAGTCCAACCCAATTTTTTTTCTCTTTCAAGAAAGCATCTGATATTATTTTATGAAAGTAGTAGCAGAAGGCGTATGTCCAGTGCTCTTGCATAACACTTGTTTCCTATGTTTTTGAACTAAAGTTGTCTATAGTCTTTATGATAAGCATTCTGGGGTGACTGTGCTATCCCAGATAGTTGGATGAGTGCAATTTAGCTTTCACTTGCTGAGTGTAGTTGCATGTCAGTAATGTTTTTGCACATGTTGATGTGTTTCTTTTGAATGGGATTAAGTCTTAAAGCAGGCATTCAGTGTTTTTGAAAGGGTTATGGGCAGTAGTTTTGCTTCTCTGTTGACGCCAAGTATTGCTAATGACTGATTTGAATGTTATTTCACACCAGCAATCAGTCTACATTGATTATGGTTTCAACAAAATTATCTAATGGCTTTCCCTAATCAAATTCATCCTTCTATAAATGAGTGCCTTTTATTGAGTCTTTAATTGTCTGCTATTAAGCTAATTGATGTTATTCAAGTTGTACAAAGCATTAATTGTGATGGAATTTCGTAAAGTCTGGCAATAATTAATGATTGGGTATTTATTATCGTAAAAAAATCAGGCTTACTCTGGGATACAAATTCTGCTAATCCAAAAGCAACTGAAGGTGATCATTTTATTGCCCATCAAAGGTAGCGAATGCAAACAAAATAAAAGAAAAATTGGTAGTAAATGACTTCTAGTGAATTGAAAACCATGTGCAATATGGATCAAATCTTATATTTCCCACAGTTTTTTTTTTTTTTAATTAGGATTAGGATTATATAGGCAGGTGTGAAAGCCTATTTTCCCCACTATTCAGTGGCATTTCCTCAGTTACAGATTCTGCAGATTAGCGGTTTTGCTTAATGAAAGAAAAGATACTTTCACCCAAATACATTTCTTTTAAGATGCCTTTATTGGTGTCTTTAACACCAATCCATTAAGATGAATCTTCCTATATACAGTTTCAGATGTTTTCCGCTCAGCAACACACAATGCTTTTATACCTTAAGGTTACATGTTATATTAAAATAAACATGATGTTTAGCGTTCTATGTTTCTTCTGAATTTTGGCAGCTAGTTTCTTTTTTGTGTGTTGATCAGGTTTTGATGGTCGTTTGTAATATAGGAAAAATCAACTTAGGGATCAAGGCATGCTCTGTGTGTTTGATTCATTATTTTCTCTGTTTGATATTTGTATAAAGGTTTTCTATTTCATTGATTTTTAAGGACTAATTAGATGGTCAATTATGAACCTAGTCAAAGTAATGTTTTGTAAATGCTAAGTTACATTTAATAGAACTGTGGTGGATCTTTTCAATTGTGTAAAAATGCAATGGAATGCATAGACTTTTCTGTATTTTTTTAAATAAACCATTTTATGAGTGTACTAAAGTGAAGCGTTTCTTAAAGGGGATCATTCACTGCATCAGAAATGGAAAATATGCAAACGAGGGGGGGAAAAACGTTAAATACTGTCACAAACCATAAACTTTACAATAGATATTCACAATCTTCTGTCATTTCCGTCCCTTTCAGACAGACATGGCACCAAATGCACTGTTACCAAGTCCAACATCATGTGACATAGAAAGGCTTGATTGGCCATGGTTATCTGCGTCTGTATATATTATAAAATCCATAAAAATCTTACCTATGAGATTACAAAAGTGTCTACTTTTCAGAACATTCATGCATTTTATTATCTTTAGTTGCACATTTGTAATAATTTTATATACATTTTAGTTGCATAAAAATGCAACAAGATCAATATTTAAAGTCTAAAAAGGCCATTCTCCTGCATTATACGCAATATGCTTCAATATTTAAAGTCTAAAAAGGCCATTCTCCTGCATTATACCTTCATAAGATGTAAAAGTCATTAACAAAAGCACAGTCTTTATAAATGTCCATCTATTGTGTGAGGTCCGTAGTTGGGCTTCTTTCCCTCAAAAACCACAGTGCTTGTCTGTCAGCTGAAAGAAAACTTTGCTCAGTTAATCCTCTTTTGAACTGTCTTGTGAAGCTGTTTTCCTTTTCTTCACCTTCAACATGAACTAGACCCATGTTCCTGGCTTATTTCGTGGGCCTTTTGGCTTTCCAAAACGAGATCCAAAAGCTGTGGAGTAAGAAAAGGGTCATTTTCACGTACAGGCCAAGTGCTAGGCATCAACCAAAACTGAAGAAATGTAAAATAGAGTAGCTCCATCTTGTGGCAGCTTTTAAAGTCTCAGAACATTAGTTTGAAATCATATTTGGTCATTTAAAATTATATTAAAAGGGAGTGATCTCTTACAAAATAGGAATCCAACAGCGGCACCATAGGATGGTGGAGCAGACTGAGGCGGGGCCGGAGGCGGGGCCATTTTTGCTGCAAATGACAGTTACATGATGTTCAAGCTACACACAGCCGTTTAATTCAATTTAACAGAATTAGTTGTATTAACATGAAAAGTAGAAGTGGTTATTATACATACACCTCTGTTTTCCTTTCAACAACTTAATACTCTGTAAGAAAAGAAAATATGTGTTGACATTTATAGAATTCGCTTGTATCCAAATCGGCAGGAACCGATTCACATGAGAGGCCATTCGCATAGATGTGATTTTACACTGAAAAATGTGAGAGGCATAGTAGTGGAATGAAAAAAATAATGAAAGTCTAGAGATGCATTAAAAAAAAAAAAAAGTTTAACTACTTTTAACTTGAGCGCCACGTTTTGCGGGAGATGCTGCAAAAGACGCAAGCACAAGAATCAAACAAGTCTCTGTAAGAAAAGAAAATATGTGTTGACATTTATAGAATTCGCTTGTATCCAAATCGGCAGGAACCGATTCACATGAGAGGCCATTCGCATAGATGTGATTTTACACTGAAAAATGTGAGAGGCATAGTAGTGGAATGAAAAAAAATAATGAAAGTCTAGAGATGCATTAAAAAAAAAAAAAAGTTTAACTACTTTTAACTTGAGCGCCACGTTTTGTGGGAGATGCTGCAAAAGACGCAAGCACAAGAATCAAACAAGTACATTAAGTGAGTTGTAGTGCAGTGGAACAGAAAGTATGCAGGGTCTCAGGCACGTTTTTTAAAGTTGTATTTCTTTTCATTTGACATGGAATCTTAAATGCTTATGCACAAGGCGCTAAAAAGGCAGCGAGACATGGGACAACAGTCCAAAACATCTGTCTAGCACTATTACATTGAAAAACTATGCAGTGGGATGTAAAAACATGTTCTGTGTGAAAAGCCATTTTGGGGCCATTCACACAGAATATGTTTTTTGCATTGAGAAACTGTCTCAAGACATGTTTTTTTTTTAATTAAACCTTTTTTAACTTCAGCTCCACGTTTTTAGATGCATACATGAGACTCTGCAAAAGGAATACGAGCGCAATGGTCAAACACATTTAGCACACAACCATCTAGCGCATGTCTGCGTAAGGGTGGTTGAATGCAAAAATGTGTTCTGTGTGAACTGCCCCTAATCAGTTAGGGCAGGGCTGTCCAAACTCGGTCCCGGAGGGCCGGTGACGTCCTGCAGAGTTTAGCTCCAACTTGCCTCAACACACCTGACTGGAAGTTCCTATGCCTAGTAAGAGCTTGATTAGCTGGTTCAGGTGTTTTTAATTAGGGTTGGAGCTAAACTCTGCAGGACACCGGCCCTCCAGGACCGAGTTTGGACAGCCCTGAGTTAGGGTGTTTGGAAATGCGAAATACGGTGCACATTTTTAAAAGGTGAACTTCTTTTTCTTGACATGGCGTTTAAAAAAAAACAATGGAAAAGCTGTGCAATGGAATACAAAAACACACTCTGTGTGAATGGCCCCTTTAAAGTGCATTCAAGGCAGGCTATTTTCAGTATGTGGGTTCAGTGGGAAACAGGCAATACAAAATATTTTACATGTTTATTATGCCATGCACTTTACATGTAACAAATACAGAGACTTTAGAAGTTGAACCTTGGTCCTGGCCTTGCTGACCAGTGAAGTTTTCTCTCCCCCTCTGTCCGACTGGTTCCCTGTTGGTCCCGTTGCTGCCGGCTGGCTGCTGGGTGCCGTCTGGTGCTCTACTGTATTAGCCACAGGGCAAGCTAAACTAAGGTTATGTAGTAATGGTTAATCACTGTTAAGGGACTTATGCTGTCACTCACCTTGGCCTCCAGCTGCTATGGTTACAGAGACAGGCAGAGTCAGCGGAGCCACAGATAGAGACTCTGTAAAATGAAACACAGCTGTGCACACATAGATCCAATAATAGTGCGCCCTCTTTATCTCTGTCGCACAGTGACAAACACTACACTGCAGTGCACTCGAGAGGGCAAATTTGCTTGTACATGTTATGTTGTAATGACACTAGTGACTGAGGTGTGGGAGGACACAATGGAAACACCAACCTACCTTGTTTTGAACTTTTTGCTCTGACGCTCTGTTAGAAAATGACACATTTTGGCAAGAATGAGTCAAGCATTGATCATACAATGGGAAAATTATAGCACAGCATTTCTGTACATCTTAAATTATATTAGAGGTTTGTTATGTCTATATGCTTTGAGGTCAACTATATGCTATAGAGTACTCCTAAACGTTGACAAAATTCACTTTTAGTATATAGTGAGTATAAAGTATGTAGTAAGAGTATAAAGGTAAATGCAATGTAACCTTGCTTCGGGCCCAAGAATGATCCAGGGATGATCTGGGCTGGGAGCTGCCTGACCATTCAGATGATGTGCCCACTCTCAGTCTCTGATGCTCTGCCTCAGCTGGCTGACAGAGGGCGCTGTTCTCGGCCACTTTAAGAGAAAAAAAAATTTCAGCTTTGTGAACAAATGAAGATGAAGTTTTTGTGTATACTGTAGGTTCTGTATACTGCACCTTTCGCCGTCTGAAAAAGGAACGATTCTGGAGTTCTATCAGGAAGTGGTGGAGTTACACTTTCTTTATGAAACAAAACGTAGTGTGAGTTTGTGTACATTTAAATCAGCGAAAATATGTTGTATGTTGGAGTAAACGGAACAATTACACTGGTGTATGTGTGATATACAGTACCTGTCCCTGGAACTGAGTTGAATGTCTGCTCATGTGGTGTTGGGGTGTGTAGTAGAGATTCTAACGTTTAAAATAGGAAGGAATAGCCTACATTAAAACAATCAACCAGAATGACACTGACAGAACTTCCTTAAATACATTCATAGTTGTTTTAGAACAAGTCTATACTATGGGAAGGAAGTTGCAAACATGTATCCTCAGTGTTGCCATGCAATTGTAGCCTACTTTAAAATGTCCTAAGAATCAGTTATGGATTATGTGGATAGATTTGTTGTTTTAAAGGTTTCTGTCAATCAGCTTAACTTGATAACCAAAAATTTAGACCTGAGACTAGAATCAAAATGTACAATTCACAGCCAAAATTATTCTGCAGCGATTTGTAGATCTGGGAGTATATCCCGGAAATAATCGATTAGGCGCTGGTGCCCAGTAGGACAATCTGGCCATAGCTGTATCCTACGGTGGCCGAGAAGTGCAAAGCAAATCAGAATTCTGAAAACAAAATAACAAATTACAAACGCAAATGCAAGTCTAAAAAACAAAATAACAATTCAGAAAGCACAACAACAATTCAGAAAACATTATAACAAGTCAGAAAACACAATGACAAATTCGAAAACAAAATAACAAGTCAGAAAACACAACGACAAATCTGAAAACAAATTTACAAGTCAGAAAACACAACGACAAATCTGAAAACAAATTTACAAGTCAGAAAACACAACGACAAATCAGACAAACCGGAAGAGGTAGGTATAGTTTGAGACAGCGCCATTGGTTTGGGATTACTCACCGCTGACTGGACGAGACATCTGTCAATCAACGTATACAGGGAAGAACCAGCCGAAGAACAGCAGAGTCGTGGTAGAAAGTTCGGAGATGGTATTAAAGTAGCTCGGTTTAAATGTATTGTATGAATTGCCCTTACTATGGAATAAAAAATACGGGGTGTCTATTTACATTTAGTTAAAAGTGGCTGTAAGTTATCAGCTCCAGTGGCGCAGATGGATAAGCGCCTGTCATTGGCTTTTTGACGCGATCGACCGGGGTTCGATCCTGCCTTTTGCCGAACTTTTTTTTCCTCCCTTTTCAAATCTCGTATTAGCAATGGATTCTATTTACACTAAGTGAAAATAGCAGTATTTTTAGCATTATGCTATTTACACTAAGTGCAAATACCTATTTACACTATGTTAAAATAGCAGGATTTCTATGTATACTACTTGTTGCAAATAGTGGCAATTATCTGCACTTCAGTATTGTAGTATGCAATAATAACGTATTGAGTGTAAATTATAATTTTAATTATTAAATGGATGCCACCTTATTGGTACAATAAAGCCCTCCCTACACCTACCCTAACCCTACCCGATACTTTATTTTCAACTTTTTGATTATTTCCTTAATTTTTATTGAAAATAAATGCCTTTACGATGTGATACGAGATTTGAAAAGGGAGAAAAAAAAAGTTCGGCAAAAGGCAGGATCGAACCCTGGTCGATCGCGTCAAAAAGCCAATGACAAGCGCTTATCCATCTGTGCCACTGGAGCTGCTGTCGTTGTGTTTTCTGACTTGTAAATTTGTTTTCGGATTTGTCGTTGTGTTTTCTGACTTGTTATAATGTTTTCTGAATTGTTGTTGTGCTTTCTGAATTGTTATTTTGTTTTTTAAACTTGCATTTGCGTTTGTAATTTGTTATTTTGATTTCAGAATAGTGATTTGTTTAGCACTTCTCGGCCACCGTAGTATCCCTTCTAGAACCGTAAAAGTGAAGACTAATCCACACGGGAAAACAATTGGCGTGGATTTTGATTCATTCACTAAAAAGATTCGTTGGGATTCATTTACTGATTCATTTGTTGACTCTTTCTGTAAATTACATCATTAGCAGTAGGTGCGACCAGTGAGTGTGTTTTTAAGTCAGTCACTGTCGTCCAAAAAAAGATTTGCTCAGAAGTTTAAAACACCAATGCTTCTAATTAATTAATGCTTATTAATACAAAGGTGGCTGAGCAATAATTGAATAGCACGATGCCTGTCTTTGAAACAAGAGGTAAGTAAGTGAACACATGAACAGTCATTAATCTTGAAATATGTGACGACTAAGTGTATTCATTTTAAGGCGACTATAACAAAGGTTTTCACCTCAGCTAGCATTCAGCTCAGATAACAATGTTTTATTTTGGTTAGTTTATTAATGTCGTATATAGGCTAAGGTTTCATCACCTTTCTTTCACAGGTGAATCGACTTCCAAAATTCTAGATTTGTATGGTATTTTGTTTGCATTGTTGTACTGTCAGTTTTTTGTACTCATTGCTGAAGGTAGACGCATTTTAAAATTGCCTTAAATATATAGCATGTTTTCACTTGTTTAATGGTGACGTCACCTAGCTTTAACACCAGTGTATACCTGTGAATTTCTACAGAGTATATTCAGAGTTAAATTTGTTCTATGCACTATTCCTGTTAAACTGTAATTTAGTCTTACCCTGAGGTTGTTTGTACAATAGGGGAGGAGGACTGTGACTTGTGATTGGAATAGGACTGAGTGGAGCAGATGATGCTGCAGCAAAAAAAAAAAAAAAAGGAGTTGTCAAGATTGTAGCCAGAATTATATATCTTATCTATGACTTTGAAATACTGAATATACAGTGGAGATCAGAATTAGAGAACAGTCTATAAATACTTCTTTCTTTCTTTTTTCGGAAATATTGTTAATCTTTATCGCTCAAAGTTTGAAGGAATATTAGCTGTAAGTATACCAGTGTTATACTAACATGTTTAACCAAGGCATTTCAACAAAAACCTTTATTTTGTAGAAAACACAGTGATCAAAATTAGAGAACAGTAACCACTGTAGCATGAAAGAAGTGTTACAACTGTCAGATATTAGTAGGAAGTGTAGAGGCCCCTGCTTTGAATGACTTCAGCAATGAATCTCAGAATCTGCGGCTGTAGGACATCACTAGTTTCTCACACTGCGCTGGTGTGATCTTGGTCCACTCTTCTTCCAGTCTCTTCCATATTTTGGTAACTGTAGTGGGTTTCTTAGCCGTAACTTTGTTGCCAAAGATTTTCCAGAGATTTTCAGTTGGGTTTAGATCAGGACTCTGGGCCGGCCATTTCATTATTTCAATGTTTTCAGCTTCAAGGAACAACAGTTTTATCCGTTTTGTATTGTGACGGGGGCATTGTCTTGCATGAAAATTGCAGGCTGATTGGGAGACGCATGCAGGGAAGGAGCTGCATGGTGCTGAAGGAGGTTCTGATACACATTTGCATTCACCCTGCCATGTGTCTGTATAAGAGGCCCAACTCCTGCTGCAGAAAACATCCCCCAAACTATGACACTTCCTCCTCCACCTTTCACTTTTTTACGTGCTCGGGGTTCAGTCTTTCCCCAGTTTGATGCTGAACATAATGTTTCCCATGATCAGACACAAATAAATTAAACTTGCTCTCATAACTAAAGTGAACTTTGGACCAGTTCTCCTCTCTCCACACAACATTCTCCTAAGCAAAGGTGAGCTCAGTCTTTTGATTCTTTTTGCTGATGAGAGGCTTGGTCACTGTAGAGGGCGCTTTCAGTCCGACATCTCTTAAAGGGGTCCTATTATGCTTTTTCACTTTTTGAATTTTAGTCAGTGTGTAGTGTGTATGTTTTGGCATAAAAAAGATCTACAAAGTTACAAATCTCAAATTTCACTCCAAAGGGAGATATTTTGTTTTTAAAAAATCCCTTTTCAAGAACTACAACGAACGGCTCGTTTGGACTACAGCGTTTGTTTTCCGGATTTTGTGATGTCACAAAGCGGCCCATTAGAATCTCATTAAAATAATTCTCCCCAACGAAATTCGAAAGGTTGGGGGGTGGGGAGCGGCGAGGTCGTGGTTAGAGCTTGGTTGAGTGCATCAGACAAGACGACGACAAAGAAGAAGTGCTGCTGTAGCGTCAAGTTTTCGCAAGTTATTACACATGCACCTGAATAATTATGTTTGTAAATATGTATGTTACAATTTAGGGATGTTCATTTCGGTTATTTTTCCTAAGTTTTTATTTTTCCAGGCCTCCTGTAGAGAATCGATGCGTTTTTGTAAGAAAAATATCCTTATTCAAAACGTAATAATCACTTTAATGTAGCTTGCGCCAACAGTTGTACACGGAAGCAGCTCCAGGCGGATGACGTATGAGGTCAGCTTTGCGCATGCACCGCTCAGAAGTGACGAACGCGGAAGCGCAGCGGAGAGATCAAAACAAAACAACGGTCACTTATTAGAAGTACAAAACGAGGATTAGAATGGCGGAGGATTTCGATTTAAGCCAAGAGGAGACTGGTTTTCTTTTGCTAAAGTGGGATTCATTTTACATGCGCAAAAAGCAGCAAACAACAGAACATGAGGATACACATGGTCATATCATATCACATCACGCTCCTGCAGCGCTTCTGCCAGAGGAGAAAAAAACTGTGCAACAAGTAGCCTAGTAGGCTATGCAGAGTTTCGGTTCATTTTTGTGCTGCGCGAAAGTCCTGTTTTTCTATTTTTCTTTAGGCTTATTTTACAAAAGCAAAAAGATTTGTTTTTATTGTGAATGTACACAAATAAAGGCAAACCTTTTACAATTCCGAT